TCTCCCCTTCGCTTTTTTAGAGTCCCATGCAGTGACTCATATCTTCTTACTGATATTTTTTATTCCTTGAATATCTCCGGAACTTAGTCGCCATTAAGCTCTGAACTGTTAAAGGGAATGTTTTTTTTGCTATTTTCCTAGTTTCCTTTACGCCAGTTTCCATTAGTTATTTACATTAGGAAGGTTCTGAACAACAGGTTGTTTTCCTTGTCACTTTCGCTTTCGTCTGATTTATTGTACTTTTTTGATCGGGGCATCATTTGAACCAACATACGCACTTCAATGTTCCCCTACCTACAAAAATGATCTCTGGGTGTAAAAAATAAATGAATAAGCATGCGTGTTGTATCACATTTGATAACTTCTCCAAATCGAATTATTGCCGGTTGTGAATTAACTGGTTTATGTCATTCTACCCCTCTCAGTACCCCACTCACTCATTCCTTTTTGATTCGCTTTCTCTCTCTTCCTGTTTTCATTCACTCACCCGTCGAATCGGATTCCTCGGTTCCTTGTCTGGCGCGGTGGTGTCAGAGTGAACCTTCATGGTTCCTAAAATGTGAATATGAGTATAAATATTTCAAGAAAGTCAATAGTTCCGCGGACAATTCGTACAAAAGTGAAAGGATATCCGAAGGTGAGATCATCCGAAAAAGAACCATTCACTAATAGGAGTCGATGTGTATGCATTCAGCAGGTGACAGTGAAAAAGCATCATTTGTGGCAATTACCGTTACCATTTAAGCTCTATAAAAACAGGACAGCGGCATGCTTCAAGCCGGTTGCTAATATGAGAGAGCGTAATTCGTTACCTAGAGGCTAGTTGGAATCGGAACTGAAAGTATAACGAAATGAAAGCTATAGGGAAACTTGGGCTGCAACTGTAGCATTATTCATTCCACAATCCTGAGCTGAAGTTGAGTACATGGCGCACTCCGAGAGAGCAGTCAATACTTCGAAATGCATACTTCGGACTTAACAGCAATCCAAAAAAGGAAATGAACGTATTACCCACAGCCTATAAACGGTTTTCTCTGCTTTTTCTAAGGTAAATAAGGTGCACCTGTTTATAGGTATAAATAAATAATTTACTTTATAGTAAGGCACAGTAACAGAAGGGCAGCTCGATGTAGTCAATATGGGTAATTGATATGTGATGAGGAAGAGTTGCCATTGCGGAGGTGCAAGATAATTGCGATTAGATGATCAAATCCCAGCTGGCTACCCATTTAGGCGATATCGAGCTCTTAGGCGCCATGGCGACAGGGGCGTACTATAAACCCAATACTGTGCGAGCACAAAACAGCGTGTTTGTCTAAATTTCAGGATTTTGCCTTGAGAGTGATGCCACCATACCGATTCGGAGTAGGTGTAGGGCTCACTAGTTCGAGGGGATGCATTTTCTTGTATGTTTGTTGCTGTGGTTGCGCCATTTGTCACTGCTCCATTACCATTACCTAACCAACGCAAACAACATTCCGATATTACAGCACACTTATCTGTTCTAAGAAATTGCTGTTGTTTATTAGTGCGTGGAATAAGGTACTGTATTGTCAGGTGGTCACAAACACTTGATTCGCGGATCAAAGCTCGTCTAGACCAAGCTTGTCCGCCATCCCTCCAGGGTAGTTAACCGATACCAGACCCTGAGAGGATAAAAGCACTGATTTCCACGGCCCTATGCGTGTAGGCTCTATGCGCTTTCATGTCGCCACTCTGTTCTGAATGGAAATCGGATCAACGCAGAACGTTTTTATCCTCTATCCTTAATGATGCCTAAAAGTTTCGAAAGCACTACTCTCAGTTCTCATTAGGGTGTCCATTTAGGTTGGCTCTAAGCTCATTCGTATTCAGCGATTTTCTTCGACAAGAAGAGAACCAACAGCAGCTACGCAAATTCGTCAGCCGATCGGACTCGAACAAAAGACTAGCAACCGGTCAAATCGACTATACAGCGACTATTCAATTGAAGAGAATCACCGTTGCGTCAATTCGACGACAAAGATCGCACCCACCTATCTGTCTTTAGGAACATCTTTCAAAATGAAAAGGGCACCACTAAATCGATATCATGAGACTTCGAAGGTTGAATATGAGAAATGAATTGGAATTGAAGAATTGTGAAAATATAGGATGTAAGTGTGGGGGTTCATGGGGAGGGGCGGGATAGATAGAGGTAAGAAAGCAGCGGAGTGTCATGATAAAATAAATCATCCAACAATGAAAAGAGGTCTGCCCTTACTTTTAGAATGGCATCTNTTTCCAGTAAAGGGATGAATCAAAGAAAGGAAAGGAAGGTAGGGAAAGGGTATGAGTTAAGCCCCCTCGGGCGGTACTTAGATACTCTTTTGTAAAACTGGCAGCAAACAAGTGGGCTAAAGAGGGTTGTGAAAGAAGTGAGTCTAAATGATAGGATGCGATTACTCTGATGTTGTCTTGCCATCTCCACGGGCGTTTCACAAAAAAAGAACAGAAGGGACCGTTGGGCAAAAGAATTTCGAAGTTGTCAAACGGAGAAATGATTGAATAAACACATCGGGTCAAGTATTAGAGCTGCGCAACCTTGTACACATCATTTTGCCCTTTTCTAACACTCTGTAGCGACCTTAAGAAATATGATAAAAATAGATAAACGTTATATCAGTGATCACAGAAGCGCGGCGGCTTGATAAGCAAGTGATAGAACTGGGAGACACACGTGATAAGAAGAAGGGGGAGTGGGGTGTGGGGGGAGGGCCTAATCAGCGCACATTGAAATTACAATGACGTCGGACACCAACTTGGAAAACATTCAACAGGCTGGAGGAAAGCCTATCAGGGGAGATCAGTCATAAGGCTGACCGATTTTCTTTACGAACAATTAAAAATAATTTTTTAGGTTAGGTTATTCCTATTTAGTTGAATCCCACCGATGGGATGATCCACTGCTCACCTTTCAGAATTTTTTTGAACCGGAAGAACTGGGAGCTTGTCAACCCCGAGCCATTTATTTGCTTGGAGCAGCTCAACCTCCTGAGCAAGGCCCGCGTTATAAAGAAATAAAGGGAAAGTGGGAATAAAACGGTTCAGAGTAAAGGTATGACTTGATAAAAATGGAATCGATGCCTGATCAAAGAGATTGTGTCAATAATTTTCAAGCTGGAGATTCGATAAGGGGAAAAGTAGTTTGTCTGAGAACAATTGAGTTGAACAGATGTCGGANTCATTTTCGCAATGTAAAAAATATGCAAATATACAAATCACAAGACTGCCTTCTGGAGTTCGCTGTCATTTTGTGCGAACATGGGCTCTTATCGATAGAGATAAGAGACAGAACAAGTAATTATGTAATATTAGGCAGTAAGTATTTAAGTGGTGAAAGAAAGACGCTGAGATTACGGTAAAAAATCTGACGGAAAAGTTGCACGTACTGCTCTGAGCATTTATCATAAGTCATAACTGATACCATATTTGGTGTAAAACGCAATTTACTACCGTAATCTCCATGAGAGGATACAGTACCGGCATGGTGTTGTACCCGCAGTTCTTCCCTGATCGTTCAGACACATCAAGGATCTTGTAACCATCAAAAAGTGAAATGTGATGAGAAATGCGAACAAACTTCGTATCAGTGAGTGGGTAATGGGTGCGGCGATGGGCTGGCTGTCTCTACGCATTGGTGGATCCTGGTCAATCGGGCTGACTGGGCTAACTCGATGGGCCGGGTTGCGACTGGGAACTGGAACTGTAGAGCCTAATGGCGGCCGCTCACTCCAATCGCGTATCGCGTGGCTACAAATGCGCTACGAAATCACATAGTATCAGTCACAAGATTGATTATCACATGGGGCATGTACCTAAACAAGAGTAGGGGATGTCGAGTGGGATTCCCAATGACGTCTACTACTGCACCATGCAAAGTTCTGACGAAGGAGATAACGTCAAGGCGTTAGCTGAATAAGCCTGTAGCACTCTGGCGAAGGCTCTACCATTACACCTGAGAGAACGGGATTCCTATAAGTTCCTATCACGAGCTACTCCTAAACACGATGACCTGAAGTATTGCTTCCTGAACCTGCCCACATTCAAGCTTATGTTATGGGCTAACCCTTGTTTGAACCTATCGACCTTGAAAGTGCAAAAGGCTCAACTGGTATGGGTGGAGTTTAGCACTCATGGCTGTCCCACTTACACCGAAACCGCCATGTTAGGTAGTAGTGATGAGGGTTGAACAGCGGTGCAAGCCCTCTTATTCGATAATTCATCTAGAGCCCGCTTCACCGAGCGGATCGGAAAAGATGGGGCAAGGTGATCGATGCCTGTTGTTGACGCAGAGGCAACTATAATCGTGGACCTAATGCCCTATAGCTAAACGTAGCGCTAGTGGCAAGAACCAATCTTTTGTCCGCGGCGGTCGAGTCACACACAGAGAATCTTTCTCTCTCCAGTCTGGTTGAGATCTTGAATAGCTGGGCAAATAACGGCTCCTCTTTTGCATAAGATAAGGGTAGGGATAAGGTTCTTGGCAGTGACCAATCCCCTTTCTGGGATGCGGTAGTTATAGTCAATGTGAGAATCAGAGTTTTATCCTACCAGTCGAGTATGGTCCCATGTAAGTGACACCTGAGGGCTGGAAAGCCTGGTGGACTCATGGTGAGTTGATCCGGGATCCAATCCCCAAACCATGTGTGATAGTGCGACACTCACATATTAACAAAAATAAAGTGTCTAATTTCTCTCGAAGGCGTTCCTCCAGTAAAATTACTTGAAATGATAATTCAGACATCGAGCCGACAGACGATAGATTTCTCTGGAAAAATTCATTCACTCGCTGACCTTGCCTACTCTGCTGTTCCGAATTTTTCTGAGGAGACATCTGGATTTCGCGCTCCACCCTGCTTCATTTTTCAGCAAAGAAAAACGCTTTAAGGCAGGGTTTCGGCAGGAATGAAAAAGCTTTGTCATAAATGTGAAGGGCATTAGCAACCATAAGCACAATCACATTCAATAAAGCCGAGGCACCGCCTTCGGGTTAGCTGCCTTTCCAAAAAACTTCGTGGGAAAGAGGCTACGCTGCAGCAACGGTACCGATTGGCAGTTAAGGTAACTAAAAATTATGGTGCGTTCGGGAAATCAGAACTCCTAGGAGTGAATCGAATCGTAGTGGCGTATTGAATACGTATGTGGCCTTTACAATGATTTGCGGTGGCCAGCTGATGTTCAAGTCAGTACATTTCCTCCCAGGCGACGTTAGTGCAAACTAACCGACACCGGAGGGATGGAAGGCTCGGTTGGCCTAGGCGGATATCGATCTGGAATTCGAGCCCGAGACCATGCGTGTGTGATGGTGCGCGATTTGCCACTACAACAGTACGCTCGGTGAAAGAAGTGTTGAACTGAAGAAAAAGGAAAGGCTACAGAAGATCGATTTGCTTCCAAAAGGAGTGTGAGCAGGGACTTAAATGGAGTTGATAACGCGACGATCTAAATCTCATAGTTCTATCCGAATGATCAAACGATTGGTTCTATGGATAGTCGAATTTCCATCGGCAACTCGCAAATAAGAGAAGA